TCTTCTGCAAAAGAAGAAATGGGCTGTTGCAGACTGCTGTTTTCCTACACAGCTAGAGCTGCAACTCGCATTAGCTCCTCTTAGCCTGCATTTCTTTCTCCTGTCTGTGGAGTAGTAATAGAGTTTATTTCTTGAGCTGTGTGCTCTAATAGAGTCATGGAATGGTTTGGGTTGAAGGGACCTTAAAGCTCATCAGTTCCAACCCCTGCTATGGGCAGGGACCCCTTCCACTGGAGCAGCTTGCTCCAAGCCCCTGTGTCCAACCTGGCCTTGAGCACTGCCAGGGATGGGGCAGCCACAGCTTCTCTGGGCACCCTGTGCCAGCGCCTCAGCACCCTCACAGGGAAGAGCTTCTGCCTAAGAGCTCAGCTCAGTCTCCCCTCGGGCAGGTTCAAGCCATTCCCCTTGGCCTGTCCCTACAGGCCCTTGTCCCAAGCCCCTCTGTAGGTTTCCTGCAGCCCCTTTAGGCACTGGAGCTGCTCTAAGGTCTCCCCTTCAGGAGCCTTCTCTTCTCCAGGCTGCCCCAGCCCAGCTCTCAGCCTGGCTCCAGAGCAGAGCTGCTCCAGCCCTCGCAGCATCCCCATGGCCTCCTCTGGCCTCTCTCAAGCAGGTACAAGTTATTTAAGGTGCTTTGAGATCCTTGCATGGCGAGTGCCAAGAAAGCTGCAAAACAATTTTAAAAGAAAAGAGCTCTTTCTACAGAGATTCAATTTCATACACGAATAAAATCCTTTTTTCCCCACATGCAGTGCATAGGTAGAAGGGGAAAATTCATTATGTTTTACTGACATATGTGCTGAGTTAATCCTTAGAGTCATGCAGGTAAATTGACAGCTTGAGTGTCTGTGCTGATGCATTTTTGCATTGCATTTTAATATACTTTGATTTCCAACTCGAGTATTTATTACTCTGGCTTGGTAGATCACTGGAAGCACTGCATGGCGTGATCGGAGTGCAGAAATATCCTCTGTGTGGCCATGACAGTAACTCACAGAGTTTGCACTTTAATGGGCTAATCTGTCATAGTTCTGGAAAACCCTCTTGATGTAAGCAGAGTGGACTCAAGTGCTAGGGATGCTTTGGTTGTGTTGGGGGTGGTCCTTTAAGTGTGCTGCTGAGCATGGAAGTTGCTTAAACCTCCTCCAGGTTACAGCTGCATTAGGGAAAATAAAGGGAAGCTGCCTTCCTTTTCCTCAGACCCCCTCCCCTCCACTTCATACTCTTATGCCTGCACATTCATTTTCAAGGCAAAACCTGAAAGCAACAGGATGCGTGTTGTAAAGATGAGTTGCAGAGCTGCCCTTGCACGTCAGTGCTGCTCACATCCCACTGGGAGAGAGAAAGGAGTTGTTGCACTTGAGAGAACTCCATAACTAGAGCCTTTAGTGACTGATGTCCATATCCTTTTCATTGCTTGACTGCTGCTGGCGGAGCTGAAATCAGTTCTAGTTCTTCATTCGCATCATGAAAATTGCTTACTAAATTGGAAGCGTTTCACACCGGGGGTTGTGCCTTTCTGATTTCACTCGGCGGTGTCTAACACACTGTGTGCCACTGGAAGAAATAGTAGGTCATTTGTAATTGTCAGCACTGGAGATTGCAGAACTTGCTTTGCAGACCTAATTTGGTGATGACGGCTAAGCATCTGTTTTGATTTAAAGAGCCCCGGCTTGTTTCTGGCGTTGCCACACAGGTAGAATGCAACTGAATTTTCTTCTGGATCCTGCACTGGATTCATAAGGTTACAAACTAGGAAGGAGGAAGTCAGCACATTTGGCTAAGATGTCCACTGAGCAAGAGGAAGAAACGCAGTGATGATTTTATATAAGCTTCTCAGCGCCCGGACCACATTGGTGTCTCTGAGCTGGTCTTCTCGTGGGAGAAGTGGAACTTGCATCCATTTGTATTAGTTAAAGATCTGTCGCTTCGCATTGTGGTTTATGACTGTAAAAGCACACGTATATTAATAATTATAATTATGTAGGAGATCCGTGCTGGCCTGCATTGAAACTAGTCACATTAAAATTGTCTTCTGAACGCTGTGGCAGACTTCTCTTGTACTTTGCTTTGGAATGCAAATGCTTAGTTTCTATAGCTGAATTTGATTAACTTCCCATCAACTTTCCCTTGGCTCTTCTTTCTTAAACCATTTGCTTTCCTCTGGTGTGATTCATTAAGACGGGGACTTCAGTTCGCTGCAGCACAATGAGGGTTAATGCGCACATTTGATGTGAGCCTGGAAGTCTTCTGTGAATACATTGCTGTGTAACGTTGTTTTGCTTTAGTAGTCATGGCCAGTGGTGTGAATCAGCATTTTCTCTTCAGTGTTCATTGTGAGCTTTGGCCCTGGCTAACCCCTATTGGGCTGCGTGTTACTTTCCCTGTGCCTCTCATGGTCAGGGGTGACAGTGCTCCGAGCAGCTTCCCTGTCATCCCGGTCAAAGCAAACATGCTTGACCATGGATGAGGTGGATTCTAATAGCTCTCCCTTCTCTCTCTATGGGTACGTGGCCTGTTTTTCATGAAAACTCTAGAAGAAACATGGTGGGGGGTGAGGGAATGAAACTGTTGAGAATGAGGAGTTGCTCGTTGGAAGTGAACCTCAGGCAGGTTTGTCTGGAAGGAGCTGCTGGGCTTTCTGTGTTGTGGCCACTAAACCCAAGGCTCTGGCTGAGGATTCCAATGCCCCTGCTGCCAGGATGCAATGCACACAGAGGGAAGCCTGTCAGCCTGGCAGTGGGTCACCCAGCTCTGCATAAGTGCTCAATACCAAGTGTTTAATACCAAAATGTCACTGGGGCTGAGACTCCCGAGGACTGGGAAACACCGGCACCGTGAGTATGGGAGCAAGGAGCTGCCAATGTCTCGTTTGCTTTTGGCTGTCGAGGTGGATTGATGGCAGCTCCTTGCTGCCAACAAGCCTTGCTTTGCTGCCCATCACAGCGTGTCACCTCCGGGAAGCACTTTGAGTTGAACGTGGTGAAACCCAGATGACTGAAAGTGCCTTTGTTGCTGGTTAGTTGAGTCAGTGCAGGGAGGGGAGTGCCTGTAGGAGGTGCAAACAGCGGGAGCTTGAGGTGTCCAGGGAGAAGGGGCAGGAAGGAGCTTGGCATCCCATCCGCTCAGGCTCTGCGAGGGAAAAGAGGGCCAAAAGTGAGCGTCTTGACTGCAAGCAAGCCAGCTGCGTGCTTGAAGTGTGTTTATTCCTCGTCACTGTAACATCTACCAAATTTTAATCACATCGTTTAGTCTTTCCAGGCACTTCCTGCAATCCGGTCTTATTTATAGGCTGTCCATTGTCTTATTTACTGCCTTGCGCCTCGCTTTGTGGTGACATGCGATCCGGTCCGGTCGGCATCACAACTGGCATTGTTGGAAGCAAATTGCTGCGGTGTTAAAGTTCATAAACGGCTTTTAGAGCATGTGTGGAATGTAGCAGGGCTTGCAAACATGGGGCATTGAGCTTCTCAAGAGTAGACCAGATGGGACACAGTAAAAGGAAAGGTAGAGCCTTATACGGGAAGGCTGGACCAACTCATCTGTAAGTAGTACGAGATGAGGGCACAAAGCTTCTTAATCAGGGGATGGTTTGGTGGTGGTGTGTTGATGCTGGTCTGAGTTCTGCCGCTGGAGAAGGGTTGCTAGACTGGGGTAGTTGAAGCAGCAACTGAAGGTGGGCCAAGCCTTTTATTCCTTTCCCTGTACCTGTTGGTGGCTTTTGGGTGCCTGGTGCATTCTGCCAGCCCGTCTCTTGCTGTAGCTCTGTCGGGGTATCTGTGCAGGCTTGTGTCCGTGCTTTCAAAACTTCCTTCTCTTTTCTGCTAAGCAGAAGTGGGACTGCCCCCACTTCTGGGGGTTTCTGCAGCTTCTCTGGGTTTGTCACACATGCTGGCTCTCAGCAGAGGGGAACCGAACCGCTGTGCTTGGCACGGAGGACGAGGCAGGGCAAGCAGGAGCATCCCCGTCTGCAGCAGGGTGTGCGGGTTCTGTGCCTGAGATCTTCGCTTCTTGTGCGGCTGTCCTGCTGGGAGAGGGGTGAGCAAGGCTTACGTGCAAGCCTGGAGGGGCTGGGAAACCTGTGTTGTTATTGAGGTGGTTTGTTCCTGTTGTTTGTGAGGTCACAAACTTTGATGAGCCAAAGGAGGCAGAGCTCAAATCCTGCCCAACCTGAGGGCTCGCTTCTTCCCCTTTCCTTCCTTCCCTGGAATTCGCAGCCTGAGCTGTTTGACGCGAGATCCTATTGATGCTCATATCCCTTGATGCTGATATTCATGTTCTTGCAGAGCTATGGTGCTTTCTGCAGCTGATTCTGTCGTTACGAATGCATGCGATATCCTCGTGGTCTGTTTTACCATAAAGAAGTCTTTATATATGGGTATCTCTGAACCCGTTAGGTGAGGATGTCTGTGTGTGTGTATGTATATGTGGAAACGGCTGTGTGTTCTGCCTCCTTCCTGACATCCTGGTTGCTATAGTGCAGTGATCTATTTGTGAACACCCAGAAGATCATTGCTATAGTTAAAAGAACCAGTGTTTCCTGGCCACAACTTCCTCAGCAATCTCTTCTCCTGGTTAAAGCACCAGGTTACAGCTTTAACCCATTCGGTCGCCTTCCCTGGGACTCCAGCAGCCCCGCTGTTAACAGGAGCTTCCTCCAGTTTGTTGCTTTTCCCCCACCAGCGTGTTTTAACAACATGTAAAAATAGTTTCTCTATTTAAATCTAATGCATGCCTGTTATTCACCGTACGTTCCAGCGCTTCAGCCATCTTTCCAACAGCCTGTCGAGCTGTGCAGCGTGTTGTGCTGCTGTGTCCTGTGCTTGCTTCGCTAAGATGCGCCGTCCTGCGCTTCCCCATCCACACGCACAGAGGTTCTCATGCACCTGCCCAGCCAGGCAAGCTGCAGGAGCCGAGGCGGCAGCGCTGGAGTTTGGGTCTGAACTGCTGGGTTTGTGTTTTCCTTCATGTTTCATTCTTTGTATTTCCCCTTCTCCCTGCAGGTGTGAATGAGAGAACCTCGCTGCAGCATTTTAGTATCCAGCGGTACTGGCTCCGAACAGCAGCAGCGTCGCGATGCCCCCTCCTGCTGATATAGTGAAGGTGGCAATTGAATGGCCAGGTGCCTTCCCCAAATTGATGGAAATAGATCAAGTAAGTGCCTGTGCTCGTGTGTGTTTGCCCGGCCTGCGTGTAAATAACTTCTCCTCTGCACGCCTGTCTCTGCATTTATCCGTACTTAGATGCACATGTATGTGTTTGGGTGCTTGTGTGGTTTTTACAAGGGGTGCAGCCCTTTTCCTCTCTTACTGCTTAATGGTTTTGCTGTTGGGTTTTTTTCCTCTGCTTGTTCTTTTAAAGCAGCTGCATCAAGAAGGCATTTACTGCCTGTGTGACCCACTTAACACTTCTGTGCCTGTGTTCAGCTGCAGAATCGTGGGGATGTTGTTACCTCTGGTGGAAGGTCTTAGCATTTTTAGTCGGTGCTTTGTCTTTGGGGTAGGGTCATCCCAAACGGCTGCAGCAAGTGCAGGTTTTAGAACTTAAGCAGTGGTGCACTGTGAGCAGGAGGATGCCGCCTGTTCCGTACAGGAATTGCAGGGGTTGTCCTGTTTAACTGGCTATTTCTAATGCAGTGGCCCTATGGACTGATTGGAGGCAGTGTATAGAGCCTGGCACATTCAAAAGGATGAATTAAAGAGTGTTTGTAGGAAATCTGGGATGTGTGAGGGGAACAAACCAAATCGAGTTACAGAAGTGCTGTGCTTTAGGTTCTGGACTTCTCTGAGGTTGTTTTTGTGGCACATACATCCATATTAAATCAATCTCATTAATATTAAGCAGCTTACCCATAATGTTTTGAAATCATGCAGCTTGTTACCTGTTCAGAATAATGATGAGTCCTGGAAATAGTGTTGAGAGTTCAGGGAAGCACTTCATAGCACGCGTAGACCCTGGCGTATCGGGGGACCAGGCACATTAGAAAGTTCTATTGGAGAGGAGAAAACGGGAATTGATGCTGAAAATGTTCTACTAAATGGGATCCTCATTTCTTGGTGCAGTGCAATCGTTTCCTTCTGGTTAACCCTTTGGTGGCACCTGCCTAGGAGATTCCTGCAGGTGCAGGAGGGTGGCTGGAGTAAGAGCAGTGTGATTTGTAGGCACTCTGGAAGCCCCTTTAGAGCACAAGGGAGCTCCCAAGCGGATGCTAGCACTTTGGAGTTTGGTTTCCAGACCCGCCAAGCTTCTTCATTTCCATTTGCTGCGTTAGGTTCTTTAGTAAGCAGATGCCTACAGATACAAATCTCCTGCCTTCTGCAATGAAGAACATTTTACTTTTTTCTTCTTATATAACAAACGTTAGGCACTGTGCACACTGTGTTCGGGGAAAGATGCGTGTTAGTCATGATGAACAACAGCTTCTCGCTCCCAAGTACAGCGGGTACAAAAGTGAACAAATATGATGCAGTCTCCTTCCAAATAGCAGTAAAGTAATACCAAAATGACTGGGTTTACTTTACAAGATGGCTTTAAGTGGGTCTCAAAAAACCCCTTATCTGAATATTAGCTTACTGCCCTGGAGCCTTGGGTTTACCTTTATTAGATAAGATTTGACAGGAGAAAAGAAGGATCAAAGCTGACTTATATTGGGTAGATCTCTTCCAACCCATCCTGACAAGTTGTCTGCGGGCTTTCTTGATGCCACTTTACAGGGAGGAGGAGGAGGAGGAGGAAGAGGGAGAGTAAAGTTGAAAGTGAGAAGCCTAACAGCAGCCTACTCCTGATGTGGGGGAAAAGGGGGGATGAAGTTTGACAGTCTCATCCCTCACCTTTCTGACATGGAAGACCGTGACAAGAAAGGAAGATGGGAAAGAAACATCTCTTCCTAATAATAAAACCCAGTGCATTTGCCTTTTTCAGGGATGGGAGCAATGTGGGAATGAGCTCTGAAAACATGCAGGGTGCTACATGCTTCTAAACACACAGCTCTGTCTCTGCTTCACTTAATTGCTAACTTTTCCCCAATCTGTTCCCTTTAAAACATCTATTTAGTTGAAGAGCTGTAGTGGAGGAGATGATTCATCCCTCAGATGGCTAGCTGTTGGAGATGATAAAGGGGAAGAGGGAAAAGGAAGGCAGACAAGAGAAATGACTTGCCCATTGACCAGACATTGCAGGCAGTGCCTGTCTCCCGGGTGGGAACTGCTCATTCAAGCACCATTTGACATATATTCATAAAATCCTAAGAATTTGCTTCCTGTTTTTTCCTCTTTCTAAGCCTTTACCAGCAAGGACCGAATTTAAAAGAACAGCACTGTGCTATTACTTTAAAAAGAACAACAGAAACCCCCTCACTGCAGCGTGATGCAAGTTCTCCCAGGGTACTTGGGGCCATTCCAAATCCTGAGTTACAAATACCATCGAAGAGATCAGGGGGAAATCTGGGTATTTATCTTTCGGCTTGCTTGCTGTATACACTTGGTCGCTATTTATATGCAGTTGCACAGTATCCCAGTTCACCTGCTCTGTATGTGCATGTTTTGTTTAGCAACGAAGAGAACAAAGTAGCCTCGAAATGAGGAAATGTCATTGTGAAACCCCAGTGATAGACAGGGGTGTGCTGGAGAGTGCTGGGCCTGAAAAGGCTGTTCTTTTCCCACCATATGCTATTAAACTTTGTGTTCAAAACTTCCCCTTTGGGTGCATGACTTGGGCCAACCTGGACTTCATGAGGTGCAGCTTTTTCTAGTTGAGGCTTCCCGTGATGTTTGTTAACCTGGGTTCATTGATGGCAGTTTTAACTTGAACCATGCAGAACTGGTCTCACTGAGTTGAGAGGCTCTTTGCCTGCATAGTTAATGTATAATCAAGTGCTTTTAGGAGCTGGCCTCTGTGCCCAGCCTTCCCTCTCATTCACTGACATGGACTGTTTGACATCAGGGTTTGACAACTGCTTTTTCCCTGGGAAGTTGCTTTAATGAAGGAGGGCAGAACTGCACGTTATTTCCTGCCCTCTCTCTATACCAGGTGGGGAGTAATTGAGCTGCAGTAAACTCAGCAACTGGCTGTTGCCTGCAAGCATTAAAGCTGGGTTTTGTGCAAGCTGAAGTACTTTCTGCTTTCTCCTTGAGAGGTGCGCTTGGCTGAATGCGCTTGCTCTCGTCCAGGATACTTGTGTAGGGTTGTGTTTTCGTTTCCATCACTTTGCTCCATTCTAAACTTGGGAAACAGCCCCTACCCTCCCTCCCCCTGCAGAAATCCCTGCTGGCAGTGTTAGTGCTGTGGTCAGAATGAGTTGTTCATGAAAAGATTTGATGATGACTGTAAGAGCGGGGGTCTAGTGATGATCTTCACCTTATAAGTGGTACTGTCATGTCAGGGGAGGAATGGGAATGGGTTGGTGTCTGTATTGGGATCTTATTGGGGAGGTTTTGGGGGTGCAGTCTGGGGAAGAACGGATTGGTAGATGCTGACTGTTCACTTCTCCCAGTCTTGTGGCTGATGATTCTGGAAGATGTTAACAGCAGAGCTGCAGTGGCTCTGTGCACGTGGAGCAGGATGCTGGCTGGGTTGTCCTCTTCTCTCCTGTTTCTCCCAGGTATAGCCCGTTTCGTAAGAGGATGTTTCTTGTGTTCAGCTGGAAATTTGCATGCGTTAATTTGTGCCCATTATGTATAACTCATCCTCAGCTCTTGGGTTTTTTCACAGCACAAATTATTTTAGGTAAGCCAGTGCTGGGTTAGGTTACCTGGATACTCTGGATTTACAGCTTCGCTGTTCCTGCTGCAGGGGAAGCAGCTTCCAGGAGAGGCACAAGATGGGTACCGGGGGAATGGCTTTAAACTGGGAGACGGTAGATTCAGAATAGACATTAGGAAGAAGTTCTTCCCTGTGAGGGTAATGAAAGACTTATTCAAGGCCAGGTTGGACCCAGGGGCATGGAGCAAGCTGTGCTCTAGTGGACGGTGTCCCTGCCCATGGAAGGAGTTGGAGCTGGAAGAGCGTTAAGGTCCCTTCCAACCCAAACCAGTCTGGGATTCTATGAAGTTTGGGTACAATAACTGTTTTGATCCCATTTAAATCCACTCTTGTGTATTAGCACAAGTTGTACTAACCCCGGATTTCTCTACACTACCAGGGTGAACTTGCTCACCACTGGAAGGAAACAGTGTTCCTGCAGAAAGGAACAGTTTGTAATTAAACTTGGCCACGCAGTCTCTTCCTCCAGGTTTCCTTTTATCTATGAGATCATTAAAGATAGATTAAATTAACAGATGTGAATCTTTGCATTAGCCAAACTAAAAAGGAAGGAAAGAGAAAAAAGCTGTTTGCTTTTTGAAGCACAAACCGGGTACAGCGGGCAGGGTTTACAGGAGCAGTGGCAGGTGACAAGTTCATGTTAATACAGCATATCGGAGGCACCATGGGCTGGTTTGTGTTGATGCTTTCCCTAAGGTTTAGATTCAGTCAGTAAGTTCATGGTTTAAGAGTGTCTTTCAAGTTGTCTCTTCTGCTATAAATGTCCTTGTGCTGTCTTCTTCCTCCAGAGAGGCCATTGTACTTGGCTGCACGTGGAAAGGAGACCGGGACAGATTCTTCTAAAGGGAACTTGCAAACTGTTTTGGGTTTCAGACTCAGTCTGGACCCTTGGGGGTTGTTAACTGGTTTAGCGCAGTGTTTCTCAGACTGTGGGGAGAGATGGAGTTCAAAAGGGATTGTGAGCTGCTTAATTAGAGGAAAGAAAGTGGCACATGGCTTTTTAATGGAAGCGGAAATCGAGCCAGGAGGCACTTGAGTGTCCCAGCGTTCCTGATCTCCAGCATAAAGGAGAGTCAGGAAATAGTGTTTTAGGGAAGGGATAAAACACTTCATTCTCTCCTTGGGGTTTTTTTGCTGTTTGTTTAGGTTTTTATACAGGTTTATTTTCTGGCTCTGATTTTGTTATCCCCATATTGGTCTCCAGAGCCTCCCCACTGGAGCCTGCGTTTTGCTTCCTGCAGCTGATGGTGCTGAAGGTGAAGGCTGAGCATGACTTTTAGGTGGTTTCATCCATAAAGTTTCTTAGGAAACAGCAGGAATCTCATCTCTTCAAAGTGAGTTCTGCTGTGTCTGAAGGAAGTGTGTAATGATGAGATCCCTGGAGTTACACACCAATGATTTAATTACAAGGTGCTTCATTCATATTGTGGCCAGCTGGAGTATCCAGGCGCATCTTAGGATGGATTATGTTCTCCTTATAGATCTCAGAATGGTGTATTTAGTGGCTTGAGATTCTGGGTTTTGACAGATGCACAGATTGTAGTGCAAAGGAAAGTAATACTAACCCCCCCCCCCCCATATCAAATGCTTGTGCCTTCACATAGACTTTTCTACCCTGGCAGGCCAGCAGCGTGTCAGTCATGAGCTGTGGGTTTAGGGTTTCTTCATTCAGTCTGCAAAGGAATTCTCACCCAGTAAAGTGGTTCAGTGAAGAGCCACATCTTAGAGCCCTGCTTGGTATTTCACACTGTATTTTGACTGTATTTCAGACTGTATTTTGACTGTATTTCAGACTGTATTTCAACTGTATTTCAGACTGTATTTTAACTGTATTTCAGACTGTATTTTAACTGTATTTCAAATATGTGGTGCAAGTGTGTTGCACGCAGACATGCTGGAATCCACAGCTGTAGGACTCTAGGGTGCTTTATGATGAGTTATTTGGTGTTGACCCGGCCTTGGCTGGGTTTTATGGTCTCTGTTATTGCGGTGTTGGGGTGTCCCCCTTCTTCAGGTATTCCCTCCCACTGGTGCACCCATGAGTTAGGGAAATCCTCTTTTCCATCTTTTTCAGATGCCCAATGCCTAATAAACAAGTCTGGTCTCACTAATACCCCATTGGAGTCATTGCAGGGACTTGTTCCCCTAACTGGTTCAGAGCAGGCTGAGGAGTCTGAAGCCCAGAGCTCTCCAGTACCTCTTCTTACAGGAGAAGTCCTTGCTCCTTCCATCACGAGGAGCCATTGGTGAAGTAATGAGTTGAGGACCCAGGTGTCCCAGCATCTGGTGCTTGCCACTGGGCAGCCCTGCTCCTGTTTCTGTGTGTGACCGTAACAGATGAATCCTCCACTGACTGTGAAAAGAGGTGGTTTTCTGTTTTCTAATAGCCATAAAAATGACTTCTGCACTACAAGCTTTGCTGCTGGAATGGTAGCATTAATTAGAGACAGAATGGTGTATTTACTGGCTTGAGATTCTGCTTTTTGACAGATGCACAGGCCAAGAACAGACTTTTTTGTTTTAAATGCTGAGTGTTTTCCACTAACAGATGTGCTGCATCTGCTGTTTTTCTCTGATAGGCTCGACAGGCTTGAGGACAGCAAGGGTTAAGGGTTTTCTTGTTGCTTCTGTCATTAAAAGGTGTCAGCCAGGGAAAGCGATATCCCAGTCATCCCAGTCACCATCGGAAGACAAGGAGGGGAGGCTGGGGGGAAAGAAGAAGCAGTGAATCTCAGCTGGTCATTTAAAAAGGGAAGAAGCTCTTCCCTGTGAGGGTGCTGAGGCGCTGGCACAGGGTGCCCAGAGAAGCTGTGGCTGCCCCATCCCTGGCAGTGTTCAAGGCCAGGTTGGACACAGGGGCTTGGAGCAAGCTGCTCCAGTGGAAGGGGTCCCTGCCCATGGCAGGGGTTGGAGCTGGGGGAGCTTTGAGGTCCCTTCAACCCAAACGAGTCTGGGACTGTGTGATTTTCACTTGTGTAGGGAAGGATATCGAGTAAATGGGGAGGACACAGGCAAAAAAAACCAACCCCAAACCCTAGAATAAAATGCACAAACCCCTCATTTCAATGAAGGAAAAACACTGAAATATTCTTGGGCTGTATGGTTGTGAGGAGCTCTTTGAAGTACACTCACTAATAAGGTGAATTTGGCTTTTCAGACCTGTAATTGCAGCAAAGATATTATGGACATTTCCATAAACATCATTTAGTGAAGATTAAAACAACAAAACCATTCCAGTAAGTCCGTTCTTTCTGACATCAAGCAAATATGTAGAGCACATGTCCTTGGAGGGCCTGTGGAGAATGGGAATAGGCTTTTTCCCTCATCTGTAGGGGGAGTGCAGCCCAAGGGATGGATCGGAGCTGCAGCTCATTAGGATTGCAGTGGTAATAATCTGCATTACTAAAGATCCAGTATGGTTTTCCTTTCTTGACTGTCCCTTGCAGGTTCCAGCTGGTTTGTTGTGGTTTCATTTAGTTTTCTTTTGTCCAAGTTTTTAAGTACAGGTTATAGTAATACATAGTAATGGAAAGGTGGTATGCAATAGGAAAAGGGAGAGGGAGATGTGTAGGACTGGGTAAGGACATAAAAGCTGATGGTGCAGAGGATTTAGGAAGTAGCTGTGTCCAATCTCCCCAGTGTTTAGATAACTGCCAGTGTGGTTGTTAAAGTGTCTTTTTGTCATAGTTCCTGATGGCAAACTGTAGTTCCCATGGGAAACAATGGGCAGGAGAGGCAGTTACCCTCTCTGTCCTCCGCTGTGTCAAATCTGTTCGCTGATACCAATTACTTTATATGAAAGGAATCCATATGGCAGGTAGAAATTTTGTCAGAATAGGTCAATATTGGAGCAGGACCTGCAGCAGCATCCTGGGGAGGGAGAAGGGCTGGCAGCTTGGCAGCAGCGCACCTGCAGACTGCAGGGCAAACCAGTGTCATCAACAACACCTTTATCCCCCCCCGGAACGAGGTAGAGAGTTGGGAGCAGGGATTGCTTTCACAGAGGCTACAGACCCGCTCAGGGAGGAGGACAGGAGGTCAAACTGGCTGCACATGGACCACAGCGATGCAGACTGAGGAACTGATTGGGCTGAGACACGGTGGGGAGGAAAACACTCTTTTTCTTTCCCTTATCATCTGCCTGATGTGCTTCCCAGCCTGGCTATGGCTCCGGCTGCTGCAGAAGGGAGCGGTTCCATGCTTGCCTGTTCTCCCAGGTGCTGGTGTTTGCTGATCATGTAGGTACACAGCGAGCCAGGGGAGGGGATTAACCCAGGTGAAAGCTGTTTATCATTTTCCTTTTATTAGGCCAGTCTAGCTTGATCCAGTTCCCCGGTGGGAGTTATCTGCGTGGTTCTGTGAGCACAGTGATGGCAGCGAAAGAGGAAGGACGGAGAGCAAGGACTGAAGCAGTATGTTAGGTGGGGAGAGGATCTTTTCAGCAGATGCTTTCATTCACGTTTGACTAAAGCGGTCTTGTGTTATGCTTGGTTGAAATGGTTTTGTGTTATGGTTTTGCCTGTTTATAAACTGGCTTCATTGACTTGTCTGTTGAAATAACAACTCCTTCCCTGACCCTGACCTGAGCAGGGAGTCCCGGCTCTGCCCTTCTGTCTGTGATGCAGTTCAGAAAGCAAATCCAAGGTGAGGAGTAATTCTCCCTCTGCATAACAAACGCTGCTGCTGAGTTAATGGTTAGCCTAATTGTGTTCCTATAAACATTCAAGGGAGGCAGCTTGTTTTGACAACACTGTTGGTGTGTGGTGGGGCTTGTGCATTTTGTTCCTTTTGTTTGCTTTTAAAGAACCCGCTGCTTAGTGGAAGTGAGTAGAGAGATGGTCCTGTGCAGCTTAGGTGATACAGGGGGTTCTCACAAAGCAAAGCATCTGTGTGACACTGTGTAGTCCCTCAGTGCTGGGGAAGGAGGGCTCAGCAGTCACCCGGCTGGTGAAATCTGGTCTGGGTTGGTTTTTTTTTGCCATGCAACTTCATCTGTGTTTTGGGATCTAAAAATGCATTTTCTTTTGGCCAGCAGTGTTCTAAGAACACTCGTGTGTGCACCCTGTGTTTATAACAGAGCTAAGAGCGTTGCAACATCACCAAACGAGACTGTTCCTTCTATTTTAGGACCCAAAGCAGCAGAGCTGTTTGCAGTCAGTCCAAATGCTTGTGCTCGCAGATGTAGAGAATAAAGCAGAACTGATACATCTGAGATCTTAACACCTTCCAGCTGGTGTTTTATCAGAGGGGAACTTGCATGTGTGTACTTAGAAGAGAGGGTCAGTGTCATCATCCCACCATAGCTGAAAGGGACAAAAGAAGGTTTAAAACTACTGAATGTCTTGCTTCAGATGTCATGCCTGGAAAATGCTCATGTTGATGTCTAAATCTTGTGTTTCTATGGGGTAATGGGATGCAGGGCACACAAAAGACCCTTTGATTTCTCAGTTGAGAGGCCGAGCTGATGCCATATGGGCTAACGTTGACAAAAAGGACTGATAATGCCATCATGCTCGTGTGTAGAATTGCCGTCCCCGTGGATTATCAGACCAAGGCAGCAGGAAACGATGGGGTCCTATCAAACTTGATATTAAACAAAAAATGAAATACTGCTGACTTGTTCTGCTCCTTGCAGTGTTGGAACCATATTTTAAGAGCTCAGGGCTTGTTCCAGTTTGGTGATAGATTGTTTTCTTTCTTTTTTGTCTTAACCAGAAAAAGCCACTGTCCTCAATAATAAAAGAAGTCTGCGATGGGTAAGTTCTGCCTTACACTCTTCCACTTCAGTATCTCCTGGTTGGTTTCACAGCTCAAAGTGTGGATATGCCCAGTCATTAGCTCCTTAAACCTTGTAGCTGTTTTACCTTTGGATCTTGAATTTGCCATGCATTTTGGATCAATTACATGCCAGATGAGCATGTAAAAAAGCAGCTCCATCATGTGGGTGACTCATTTAGACTGTTGCCTTTCTGCACAGAGGTGCATTTTACTCACTCACTTGAACACTTGTGGTCCCTGCAGTTTGTGGGGTACGGAGCTAAAGCACTGATGACTGTGGCTTTGGTTCTCAAGCATTGGGTCTAATGGCTACTGTAAACTGGTCCAGTTGATGTTGCTGCTCACATGACACTGAAAGGTTAATCACAAGTCCTGCAATAGGAGCTAATAATTGGCTAAGAGAATTATCTTGCTTTAGTTTTATTGTGTTAAGCTTTGGGGATAAAAATGCTGTTTTAAGCAAGTGCTACCACACAGGAGAAACTAGTTAATATTCATCCAGTTGCCACTGAGTTAGGTGGTATTTTATGCGCAGTGTCATATATCAACTTAACACTATATGCATTGGGTGTCGTATAAACTAGCATAAAATCTTGGTGCTGTAAATTACTTTTGTGTCTCTTAGTGATTTAATGATCCTGCTTACTGCAAGCAAAAATTATCCTTGCTGGTTTTTATAGATCTGGAATGAATATCAGATCATTATCAGCTTATTTTTGGAGCACTGAAGTGTCACTGTACAGACAAAGTAGTTTCTCTTCCCCTTCACCCTTCCTCCCCTTTCCCTTCTTTTTATCTTTGCCTTGGAAGGAGGGTATTTGTTATGGAATTTCTTTCTCAACCATAGCCAAGTTTAGGGCTTTGTTTCAGGTATGCAAAGGGAAAATCTTATTTATAGGATGCATTTGTACTGCAGTTTTCCCTTTGTAAGCATGCTTTTATCTTAAACTTTTGGAGTGTGGAAAAATATGAGAAACACACGGGAATGACCTGTGTGTGTGTGTTTGTATGCAATTATGTAAAGGATGCTTCCTGAGTATTTAAGTTTTCATTTTGTAATTAATCTATTTTCCTGTTTCTAAGGTGGTCTCTTGCAAATCATGATCAGTTTGCACTGCAGCATGCTGATAGTTCCAATTTCTACATCACAGAGAAGGTAGGTAAATCATTCCATGCAATCTCACATAGCCTATTAAAGTGTTTGCCCCAATAACTTATTCTAAATTAAAATGTATAAAAATAGAGAGTGTTGTCCCTAATGCGATGCTAATGAGAAGGTTGGGACTGGGAGGCCTGGTTTTATGGATTTGCACTGATTTCTTCTGTTTGGAAAGGCAGTTAAAGTTTGAACGTGCCAAGGCCTTCACATGTGAGTGTGAGGCTTCAGCACTGAGCCCTTCAGCTTTGGTATTTGTGCGTGTTTAGTGTTCTGCTGGCAAGGGGAGTGCAGGAACCTGAAATCTGTGGATGTGAAGGGTTCTTTGCACTGTGAGGAGATCTCAAGGCCAGGTTGGATGGGGCTTGGAGCAACCTGCTGTAGTGGAAGGTGTCCCTGCCCATGGCAGGGGGTTGGGACTGGATGAGCTCTAAGGTCCCTTCCAACCCAGACCAGTGTGGGATTCTATGGCCCTCAGTGCACATCACCTCCCTCTTTGGCTGATCAGGCAGTTAAGTTTCAGTCACTGTGTAATATTTGCTGCTCCTTCCTGCTTGCTCTCTTATCCTTTTCCAGTTCTGTATGTGACATTGGCTTGTGTTTTTGGTCCCCAGATAGCGTGGTAATATGTGATTCATGGGGTGATGCAATGACTTCAGCAGAGAGTAGGGAAATGGCTGTAGCTGTAATAAAAATGGAATGTCTAGTCTAAATAAATGGGACATGCTCGTCTGGATGACACTGAGTAGCACTCTCATTCCTAGCATTACTGAGAGAATTGCTGAAATTAGGAAAGGAGAAATGTATTTCTTTGGAGGAGTGTGCACATGAGCGCTCCTGAGGTCCAGTTCCTATGCACTGGGGAAAGAGCACAGTTCAAAACTTGCTGAAGTCAGTGTGCAGATTCCCTACCCTCAGATTTTGACCTAAATAGATCTGAGCTCAGCTGCATGGATGCGGATGCTTCTTGCTTACCTTGTTACCAGTGTAGTTTGGCTTACTCTGAAGTGGAAGAGTCCTTTGGTAGCGTTCTTGAGGATCTAATCAGCTAAATGCAGCTGAGACATGAACTAACTTTTCCCTTGCTGTGATTCTTACCCCCACCCAGGAAATAAAGGGAACTTAGGCTCAGTTAAGCCTTTGGAAAGACTAAATTTAGCAAGACAGCTCATAACATAGTGCTGCTTTTATTTGTCTTAGCAGCCCAGTTTCAGCTTTGCATTTAACTGTTTGTCACCCCAGGCACCCTCTTCAATGGGGTATAGTTTGGTTTGGGCTCTGCCTTCTCCCTCCTGTGTTTTTTCCTCCCTTCTTTTCAAGTTCCAATTGAGAGGCCCTTCAAAGGCCCCACAGGGAAAGCTGTTGAAGTGATTGCTCGCTGCTGTGTTTTGTTTCCACCCAAATGAAATAGGGACTGCTTTGCAAATTGCCCTCCATTGTGACACAACATTTCCCAAGGAGCCAGAGCAGCCCAGCTTGCCCATTGGCATTTAAACTCTGACTGTACAGTGGGTGTTTCCAAAAAGCCAGGATTCGCTTGGGCTTCTTGAAGGAGTTTGTCCTGATGGAACAGTTGGTGGGTAGGGTCCTGCAGCTTTGGAGAAGAGGAATGTTTCCTCCTCCACGTATAAAGAAGTGTGATGGGATTTGCCTGCCTTTAACTTTCAATGAGGGTGGAAAATGGTCTTCAAGAGCTCTGGGGTTGTGCTGCGGAGAGGACTTTGTTTGTTCCCTGCTGAAAAGACGCAGAGTGTCTGAGTCACATAAATAAGAGAGAGGAGCTCTAAATGCCACCAGTATTACTCAGATGTCTGTGACTTTTATTAGATATTGTTCACTATTTGTCACTGCTTACTGGAGAGCGGCTATGAAGAGAGCCTTATAGAGGGTGAACCCTTCCACATTCTTTCCCTTGTTGTGTGCGGTAGGATTTTGCTCTCTGAATTAAGACATGAAAAGCATCAGTCCTGAGGACAAACACATGCACCTCAATGAAGGTACAGCACCGACTGTTAAAGCCCGCCTTCCTTTAGTCAGTCTCTTACTAGGACCATATGCAGAGCTCCTTTTTCAAGCGACAGGTTCTAATTTGAGCACCCTGCTCTGGTGGAAGGTGCCCCTGTCCATGGCACAGAGTTGGAAACGGGGCATCTCTAAGGTCCCTTGCAAGCCAGATGAGTCTGGGAGTCTGTGAACTATTTGTCACTGTTCTCAAAGAGGGATTCTGCACCTGTACAGGTATGTACAGATACATGTATAGGTCATGTTCCTGCAGAGCCTGGGGGCTGCTGTCCTGTGGCCTTCCAGGTACAGATGCATTTTGAAATACCGTAGAATGCCAGCCTGGTTTGTATAGAAGGGACCTTAAAGCTCCTCCAGCTCCAACCCCTGCCACAGGCAGGGACCCCTTCCACTGGAGCAGCTTGCTCCAAGCCCCTGTGTCCAACCTGGCCTTGAGCACTGCCAGGGATGGGGCAGCCACAGCTTCTCTGGGCACCCTGTGCCAGCGCCTCAGCACCCTCACAGGGAAGATCGTTCTGGTGCCATGTTTGAAGCCAGCAGAAAGAAAAGCAGTAAACGAAGAAACTTTGAAGTGAAAATGTTACAAATGTGGGACTGTCACCACATGGCTCGCTATTACATTTTTGGGTTTGGGTGGCACACAGCGCATCTGTGTTTTGGTTGTCGTGTGCAGAGCTCTTTATCTTCCGTAGCTGACCTATATTTCCTGATGATACGGCACAGAAATGCAAACAACGCCCAAACAGTCCTGTGGGGTTTTTCTTTGTGTAGGTTTTTTTCCTCTCTCCTGCCTGTATCATTTGTAAGACTGCCTCTCGAGGAGCAGCAGTGACTGCTTCAGGCGGGATAAGGGTGGTCCAGTCTGTCAATGCATCTGGAGTCAGCGAGGGTTCCTGATACAGACAGGGCTTATCACAGGAGATGCAGTTAGGAGTGCTTCCTCTGGGCTTCTCCTTTGGCTCTCTCTGTGCCCATGAAAGTGCCCTGGAAGTCGTTAGTTGTGTGAGTTATGGGAATATAAAATGGAGAAATAATATAACAGGCTCTGGGAACAAGAAAACAAAGCGGGCATAGTGCTAAGCTCAGCCTGGGTTTTGGTCACAGTGTTTTGGGGGTTTTCATACATTCATAGGTGCATCTGTTTTAAAAGGCTTTACTTAGCGTGGAGGGGTGTTCCGTTGGTAAGTCAGGCACCTAAGAGCCTGACTTCTGATTCAGCATCTTGCTGTGTTAGGTACTATGTAATAGTATAATACTGTTTTGTAAAACTATAATGCTGTGTAATGGAGAACTTAAATAGTCACTCTTGCTTCACTCTGTTCAGGTTGTACTCGAATAGGTGCTTGTGTACATCAGGTGTAGTAACTCAGGAACACTATAGCCTGGATGAGCTCAGGTTTGGAATGGGCAAATGGCTTCAACCTGTCAGAGGGGAGATTGAGATGAGCTCTTAGGCAGAAGCTCTTCCCTGTGAGGGTGCTGAGAGGGGTTGGAACTGAGTGAGCCTTAAGGTCTCTTCCAACCCAGCCCAGTCTGGGATTGCATGAAAATGGCTGTGTGATTGTGTGTACTGTGGGTGTTCCTGAGCTGAAAACCACAGCTTGGCTAGATCCCGGCTGTGAGTGGCTCATACAGCACACTGGTGGCTGTGCCCAGTCCCTTATCCCTGCAGACAAGGTCTGGCTCCTTTAGATGCATTTGTGCCCCTGTGCTGCCCGTGATGGGCTCTGGGTGTGGGGGGCATCGCTGTTAGCTCACACTTGGGTCTCTAAAACCAGCATGATTGTGAAGGAGCTGGGTCCTTCCCACTGTTCACATTGTAGGGAGCCCTCTGAAATGTTTGCCTGGGGTTTTGTTCATTTCTCTGTGTGTGTGCTTGTTTCTCTGCTAGACCCCAGTGCTCATCAACAAGGGCTCCTTGCAGGAGGGCAGGGCTGGGAAGAACAAGGGTTCAGGCTGGCTTTACTGCTGGAGGCTGAGCATGGCAGCTCTTCACTCTGCATCTGAGCAGCCATCGGGAGTACAAGGTTAGCTCGCTCTTGCCGAGGGGCTTTGCGAGCCAGCTCTGAGCTGTGCTCAGCCTTCTGGGCTCATACCGGTGCCATTCTTCATGTTACCTGGTAGAAGTAAGGACATCTCGTTCCCCTGTGTATTGACTGCAGCCATTTTTATTCTCTCACAGTTCCATTGTGTTCATTTTATACGTTTGATGCATCTAAAGACTCTCTGTGGTTTTTTTTTTCCTTCCTTTTTCCCTGACTCCCACATTTCCCTTTCATTCTTCGGTGCCTATTGCATGAAGCGGAGGGGAGCAGACACCGAGCGCTGGTTCCCTCCATTCACTTCCAGAGACTTTCAGTTCTCTTTAGCAAAGGAGCCTGTCCCCGCTTTACTGCTGCTGTCACTGCTCAGCTCTTTGCTGTGTTTGCAGATGGGACACCCTTCTACTCCCCCCCACTTCCCCAGGCTGGGAACCTGGGTAGGCTCCTGGTGCTTGGCCTTTCTCAAAGGTGCTTTTGCTCGTGACCTGTTTTGCTGAATGCAACCTGTAATCGTATGTTCATGTGAAATCCCACCGTGCCACTGCAGGCTGCCTGTGTGGGAGTGTGTGCGAATGACGGGACAAGAAATGAGCCGCTTGTAGGGTTGGGGGTTTGGGACGTGGTTTTCTTTCACACTCGTAGTGCTCATCTGTTTCCAGTGATCAGCTGAGCATCAGTGAGTTGGAACTAAAACATTCTCAGCAGTGGATGTTTCGTATTCAGGGAAGGAGCTGGTACTTTGTAAGCAGCTGGGAATGAGAAGTAGCCTGAAGGCTGGGAGCTGGAGAAGTGTGTTCAGTGATCTGCGCCTCTCGGTTAGCATTTTGCATTGCTCTTGGTAAGACACTTGTCAGTAATGCTGCATGAATGGCAGATTTCAGTCCAGAGCTCACCTGGACCAAACCATGCCCGACTTGCCCTTTTCTCAGCCACTGA